AGATGCTAGGATTGTGTTTTCGGCTCTGTCAGCTGTCCGGCTTCACAGTCTCTCCCTTACAGCTCTGCGACACCAACAGAGGCTTGGATCAAGGGGCCAGGGCCCGCGCCACGTCCATCCACACGATGCAGCAGCTGATCAAGAAGATACACATCTGGAGGGCGCCGAGGCAGCCACAGACTTCTTCATAAGTCATAGTATGGGAGGAAACGACAGTGTAACATAGGGCGAGGACGGCCTAGAGATGCTTCATTGGGACTGTGCTGTGAAACCCTCGCTAAGTCGTCACGATGCACGAAACTGAAGCAAGTTCAAACTCAGGTCTTGCATGTAGGCTTCTGGGTTGCAGTTTCTGCGACGTGATGCAACAGCAAACTGCAGCGATCATTTGAGCTCTCAAATCCTGAAGACTTCACCTGCCAACCTGCACATCCGTGCAGGGCCTTGAAGAGTACTCCAGAGTCAGGCTTCATGATGCCGCCCAGGAAGAATTCAAATCCGAATTGCATCGCCAAGTCCACCTTTTCATATGCGGGCGGTTATATCATTCTTATCGTCATTGTTGTGATTATATGTTCATTTGTGTGATTATAAACTTTCATGATCATGCTCATGAACATGACCATGGTTTTGGTCATGATTGCCAAAAATCCTAAACCCTGAAAATCATGGTTCTGTTTGTGGTTGTGGTGGTAGGCTCAAGGTTTGTCTTCGGGATTCAGAGATCACGCCCTTCTCTCTCCTGCGTCGCCTTCTACTACCACTGCTGGTTGACAAGGATCCATATAGGGATGTATAATAGTGGCCTTGTGAGTTAGAGTAGGGTTTTTGCTGTATGATGTACTGCAATATACTACAAAAATACAGGGGGTATAAGGGGAAGCTGCTGTATAGGATGTTTTTCAAGGTTTTTTAAACATTTTAGTAACCTCCGTTTTTCAGTTCGCTTACGGGTTGCAAAGTTACGCCTCATTGCACGGAAGCGACTTGAAACGGAAATCCCTGACCATGGAAGCTTGACTGTGATCCCTTCACATGCACCGCTAATCTCAGCCAGAAATTCTGGCTGAGGGTGTAAGCTTAAGACTCTCAGTTTCGAGCGTTCGGGGCCCGTGGCTGAAGCTCATAAGTGCGAAAATCTCAAGCAGGCCCCAAAACAGCACCAAGAAACTGCGCAGCATGTAAATGCTTTTCGTTGAACGCTGCTTTTTCCTGTGAAGCCTTGAAGCCACACCTTGAAGGCACCCACTGCCCGAAACCTGAGCAACACAACCAGAAGCCATATTCAAGGAGAACCCACAGCTTTTATAGCTTAAACCCTTTAGGCACCGACTCTCACCCTCCTTGGGTCCGGGCATCGTTCGTGACGCGCTGATCCGCAGACTCCACGCGCCCATCGAGATTGCTGAGGACCTCGTGGCGCCCAGAGATCCTAATAACCCCTCAGAGGTTAAAGCTTGGAGGCTTGAGGAACTGACGTTTCATACTCAGGACTCTTGGGTGGCTTTACAAGATTTCGGGTGTTCAGGTGTAGGGTGTGCAGGGAGTACGCAATGCTCGCGAGTGCGATCCAGGCTGCCCGGTTTTCGGGCTGGTAAGCAGGGTCAAGTGCTCGAAGGCTGCAGTTCAGCAGTTTCTCGGTTCAGCCTCTAATACCCTCAAGACAATGACTTCTGCACAAGGTACGACGACTCAAAGTCATGAAATGCGACGTAAGACATGATAAGATCCACGGCTGCATCGCGCATCTTACAACAAGGATGTTGGGCTAGCTTGCGATTGCATATACATACAACCCCATGTCATAAAGGCAGACTGGCATCTCGTGCCTCTCAATCATTTCATGTAACGCAGTACAGTGTCAGATGTCACAGGCAGCTTGAGCCGGCTGAGGAACAGGCATAGTAGATCCGGTCCTCGCTTCCTCGGGTTTGGAAGCTACCGCGCAGGCTCAGAAATCCAGGACATGGCGTGTGGGGTTAGGTGTGTGGGCTTGTTTTGGCCTGCCCCCATGCACTGCCGAGCCTTGCGTAGTTTTATGTAGTTTTTAGTTGGTTTAGGAGTCGCAGCTTGGAAAGCGTAATTATGTGAGACTGCCTTCGGGCCCGAGGCGATGTCGCCTTTTCTCCTATGCGGCATGGGGATTACAACCGGGCGATGGAAGCGATGCGGGCCTGGTCGGACCTAGGTAGCTCCAAAGCGGACACCTCGAAGGGCCCTACACTCCATGAAGCCCTAAACCCTAAACCCCAAAGTCATAAAGGCTGGGAATCCTGTCCCTGGGCTAATTTTGCATTGCCCGGTTTGACATGGCGAGGAGCGAAGGGCGAGTGCATGCCCCGTACTTCTGCGGTACAAACCACGGTTTCTATCCGAAGGACTTCCTATTTCAGTTCCCTCCAAACAATCCGAAAGGGATCAAACCCAAAAGCAGTAATCACACCTTACACCCACCCAATCCCAATCCACCTTTCCAGAAAAAAGCAAAAACAAGCGCCTTATCCTAGCCCCTAAACCCTAAACCACGTATACATCCCTTATACCCTACATATATATATATATATATAGAGATAGCAACACTCCCTATCACTTGAGTCGAGCTTCTCAGGTAGAGCTTCTGCAGGTGCTGGTAGAGCCTGGAGCGCCTCCGAACGTCTGTAGGCTTTGAAAGCTTGTTGAAGGCTCGAAGGTTTCGGTGTTTGATTTTTTGCTTTGGGGTTTAGGGTTTAGGGTTTAGGGTTTAGGGTTTAGGGTTTAGGGTTTAGGGGTTTGGGGTGTTTTGAGGTTTCCCCCATTTCTCTCAATCCCAAGCCATTCCAGTCGTCGAGGTGCCTAGATCATGTACCTGACCAGGATTTCTGAAGACCCAATCATGGCCCAACGACGAACGAGTTGAGGCTTTTCTGGCTTAAGGAGGCGCCCTTTTGAGGACATCTTGGTGTGATTGGTGTGAACCGAGGTGAGAGCATTACGGCCTTGCGCCTCACGGTCCAAAAGGTACAAGCAGCGGCGGCCTAGAGCAACTCCAGCATGATTTGTGCCAAATGCCTTTTCCCAGTCGATCGCAAATTTCTGAACCCGGGCCTCCCCGAAACTAGAGGCTACCTTAGAAGTCGTTCGCAGAAGTTGTTCCCAATCACCCCGACATGGCCACACACTCTCCTACTTTCGTGATCACTATCGTCATCACTACGTAGATGTCCTTTCTGGGACTTTACCGTAGCTGGATTCGGGAAACCACTGTGGATTGTCGGATTTATGCATCCTAGGCCCCAACACCCCACTCTCCAAGGAAGCTGGCTCTGAGGGGGCTGGCCACTCGAGCATCAGGAGCACTGAGAAGTAGTTGGCGATGGCTTTCACAACCTCCAAGTTTCAGGTTAGCCGGCTGGTTTTTCCTAGCCAACACCTTGAACCGGGGACAGCCGTCCGACCGGTTTGGGGCCTGGGGCAGAAGTGAGGCGGGTGATGTTGGGGGCTTGCCCGGATTCCGACGTCCTGGGACACTGGATGCCTTCCGCAGGATGCGGCCTTCTAGCGATGCTGGTACTAGTTCCAGGTTACGGCTGAGGGTCCATTTGGGATTGAATCCTGAACCTCAAGTCAACTCCAACTGGAACCGGCCACCAAAGTTGGTGTTTCAGACCGTGCACCTCAAAAGCTCCCCGTCAAAAGCCCTGCCTGTGCGATCGAACTTAAGCATACTTGTACCAGACTACTCGATAGGTAGAGCCGACTTCTAACGTTCCTCGCACTTTGATCACGCTTTTGCCCGCGCCGTCAACACACAGTGTCTGGAGCATTAATATATATCAATATGAATACGTACCATTAGTTATTTGGATTATTGTTTTTACTGTTCTGATTCTTACAACTTTTTTATTATTATTGCTACTGTCAGCAGCGCTGCAGGGAAAATCCACGCCGAGGCTCATGTCATCTGCAGCTCCCCAGGCCGAACCAAAGTCGTGAGCCAGTCAAATGCAGGACTGCCATTGGGAATTTCAGAGCACTGCGGTCTCTAATTTAGGATCCTTCTAATCAGGGTCCTATGATTTGGGGTTCGATACTTCTGAAACTTCCAATTCTGTCCTATCTGCGCAGTGCAATTGAGCAGCTTTCACGGCCAGCAGAGGCGTTAATGGCTTGAATTGGGTATATCAGTACAAGAAGGCCCCTTAAGGAATACTATTGGTGATTGATATGTCCGAGCCCTACCAGCCCAACCAAGCCACTCGGAAAAAGCATGCAGCCACCAGTGGCGGGTGAATCGCAGCAGCCGCTAAGCCAACGGCTGCAATGGCTGCATCAGCCGACCGGCTGCTAACCTTCTCGACATTCGCTAAGTAAGGGGGCTCCCTTCTGGGGCCGAAGCGGAAAGTCTCAACTGCAGACGCAGCGGAACAACGTCGAACCAAATAAACGAAGACCGAGGCTCAGAAGAATAAGATTCTCACACAACTAAGAACCAACCTCACATAACCAAGCAGACTCCAGATGCGACGTTTCTTAAAATCCATCCTACCGAAGAGCCGCATGAGAGAGCAGGCTCTGTCAGGCAGTCACGAAGACTTCGTGATGCAATAGACAGCCATAGCTGAGCTGCCATTTCAAAGACGAGGAGCGAAAAGGAGTGCCAACACCTCCACCAGCCTTAGACACGATGATTGCAAGCACAAAAAGCCGAACCACACTGTCAAAAACATCCAGAGGAAGGCGGCCCCTTCGGAGGTGAAACGCAACCCTGGCAGATATCAAACTGGTAGTGCGGATCACGAGTAAGAGAAAGATTGCCAGATGCTTGGCATTGCAGAGCCGTCATTCTTAAGAAGACCAAGATGCAAATCGAATGTTCACCGGGAGTAGAGACAACGATGCTAGTGCAGCTCTGTTGCTTCTCGCAGTTTCCATGACGAGAAACAAAAATACAAAATCAACGTGTCGATTTTGACGCCTCTACTCAAGTAAAGAAGACGCAAACATCTCATCCCACGCAGTCCTCACTCAAGGTCGCCACTGACTATAGGCGCAAACTCGAAGGGATCTGCTTCTCTTGGTAGCACCTCTTGCGGCTCGTTGAACATTTTCTGTGCATTGATTGCATCATGGCCTGCGGACGGATGATGCCATGATGCACCCACTGCTACTGGACAATCTGGTGATGCACGGCCATGATCCTGGAGTCTACGAGTAGCTACGAGTGGGAGCGGGTGATCCGAAAACATGTCATCGAGGTCCTCGTGCAAAGGGAGCTTGCCAACTCTTGCTGAAAGAGGAAAGTCAAGCAGAATATCGGCATGCTCCTGCTTGCTCTCTTGATCATTCTGGGTGTCAGTCACGATTACTGTCGATCTGCAGCCGGCAATCGCCGCTGTGCCTCCTCCATGCTTCACCGCTTCTTCGGCCAGATTCGAAGAGTTGGAGACCACCTTGCCGGGGAGCGCGTCCTTGGCTTTCTGAGGAGCTCCAATCGATTCTGCCGGATCTGCTTCTGCATCCCCGCTAGGCGGCAAGCCAAATGCACGAGAAGGGCAATGGAAATCCGTCCCGTTCTCCGGCTCCCGCGGAGCTTTTGAAACTTTTGTGTTGGATGAGCGACACATGCTCCGAAGAGCTTTGGACACTGTTTGCCTGACCCTTGGCGGTAACGGCGCAGGCATGGTCCGGATCCGCATCCTCGCCGAAGTCAATATACGACCAGCTCTCGCCGTCAAGGAGCCAGCAGCTCCAGCGCGTGGCAAAGCCTCCTCGGATGTGTCCTGCTCAGCTTTTCCGCAGAACTCTTCCAGGCAACACTCTCCAGGTGTATCTAGGTATCCATAGTGCATCAGGGCCGCATGTGCAATCCTGACTGCCCGAGACTTGCCGCCCTCCGTCACAAGAGATTCCAGGATAGTAAGCTCCTTGAAGCAAACCATGGCCCTTGGCCGATCAATTGCTTCCTTGGACATCATCCTCAGCACCAAAGATAGAACTGGACGCAATCCGTCGTCGTTCAAATCGGGAATCTCCACCTTCATCTTCCAGCAGGTTTTCATGCATATTCAATTTTTTGCCAGACTAATATCGGGGCTGAAGTTAAGCTCTTCAACGACGGCCCGAATAAAGGGACCCCAGATGATTCAATGATGATACGTTAGTAGAGAAGTAGAGAAGCATGCTCAGCTGTTCTTGGCATGGAATGCGGGAATGGGTCGTAGGAGCCACGACGGACCTTAAGGACTATCAATTAAACCCAACCTGGCAGTTCCGGGTCTTCTCGAGCGTCTCAGCGTGAGTGTTTCCCCTGAATGGCAGAGCTCGAAACATCATGAAGTAACCTGGTCTCCACTAAGGGGGTTTAAGGTTTAGGGGCTCCGCTAAGGGTTCCTCTAGGGGTTGAGGGTTTTCGGGAATTCAGGGGAAGTTGGGGTTTAGGGACCTGGGCTCCAGCAAGGGTTCGTGGAAGGGTTTAATAGGGCTCTTGTTACGGAGTTTAGGGCTTAGGGTTCCATCGATACTACTCCTTTGGGTTCCGGACTAGAGTAAGACTTCAATTGAGTTCTATACGATAACCTGGTAGCTCAGGACTCCCAGGGCAAAGACGTCCACAAGCTCGTCATAGCACAGCATGATGGGAGCTATCATCTCTGGGGCGGCATAGCCTGGCGATCCAACGGATTGGAACATGGCTTGCCGGTCATTGCGGTATGCGGCAATGCCAAAGTCAATGAGCACTGCGCGATCCTTGTGCATGACCACGTTCTCTGCTTTAACATCTCGGTGGACGATGTGCAAGTAGTGCAAATGTGTCAATGCTGATGACAAGCCAGCTTGAATTCCAAGAATGAGCCCCACCGGCAAAGACTTTGCCTTCATGATGTTGAAGAGATCACCTTCAGCGCAATGCTCCATCGCAAGCAGCCACGTTACACTGGACTTCTGTGCCTCTGCGTAGACACCCAAAAGGGCTGAGATGTTTGGATGACCTGCTGACTGCTGCAGGAAGCCCACTTCTCGACGGACCATCGCCGAGTCGAGCTTGTCCCAAATCTTGACAGCCTCCCGCTCGAAGTTGTGGACTTTGCTCATATTCAGCACGTCTGCTTTCGAAGCGACAACCACACGGTGCTCTTCGTGCAATGGGAGGAGTGACATGCCTCCAAAAACCGTCACGTGGGATCCCTGGCCTAAACTACCGGCTGCGAGGTGAAGGCACTGCGCACAATCCCATCGAACAGCCCCGCGCCGGCTAAGACTCATGATGAGGTGATCCAGAGAGTAGTCGCTGTAAGCTCTCGTACAAAGCAGCCAAACCACTGGGTTTGCTCTTCCAGAAGCACGGGGAGCAATCAAAATGATGTGCGTGGCATCTGGCACCCGTGAGAAAGGCGATGCGAGCTTGGTGTGCACAGGTGCAAACATGACGTCTGCAAGCAACAGCGGGATAAGCAAGGACGACAGGCCGTTTACTTCCCACAAGATTCCTTCTTTGCTCAAGCAAAGCGGTGACTTTCCCGAAGGCTTCTTCAGGCCGCTGACGTCCCCATACCGGCTGCTACTTCTTGACTTTGAAGTGGGAGTCTGCCCTGCAGCGGCACACTGGAGAATCTTTTCCAGAACGATATCTTCGCCCTGCAGATTCCTTAAGGAAGTTGTCGGAGCATGCTTTGAAATCTCCTCGCCAGCCTTGTGGCCACCATGCCTTGGGACGCAAGTGAATGCCGTGAAGCCAGCAGTCAGAAGCACTCATGGTTCCTAGCCACCTCAGCGCTTGAGGCACGTGGAGCACTGCGATTCGGCCCAGCTTTTGGCCGAAAGGGCTTCCTCGACGTCCACACGAATAAAGGCTTTGGCAACGCGCTCTAGGCTAAACCAGCCTCGAGCCGACATGCTTCGGGGCTAGAGGCTTTGGTATGCAAACATTTATTCTAGTTTGCAACCCTGCTAATGCATTTGGGCACCAATCCCACCTCGCACCCGCAGAACTCTTGCGCCTGAAGCCGGAGCCATGAATATTAAGGCATGTACTTTGAATATCAATATACCACACCACAACTGTGCTCGCTCAGCACATTGCATACTGAAATACCACAACTCCGATCGTTTAGTGTTTGGCCCTAAACCCTAAATCCAGTGAATCGGGCACTGCCACGGTACAGGCTTTAGGGTTTACGGGTTTAGGGTTCAGCGCCCTCCGAATCAAGCTTTACGTCTTCCTTCAGCAAGACTTAATATTTACTCCCTTCCAAAACCAAAAAACTCAGAAACCCTACGCCCTACACCCTAAACCCTCCTCCCTCAGAGCTGGGCTGCCGACCCCCAGAGCCGGACCCCAACAAAGAATCACCGGCAGCATGCGGCTGTAGCTGATGCTGATGCCTAGGCTTTGAGGCTTAGGCCCTAGGGTTTCGTATAGGGTTTAGGGTTTAAGGTCTAGTAAAGGGTTTAAGGATTAGAATGTAGTTAACCAAGGATGCTTCAACAATAATTTTGTCGATGTCGAAACCATATCGGTATTGAACCGAAAGGTATCGCTAAACCAAAGTCTCGACATCGCACCGCACCGAAAAGCACTGGTATTGCTAATATCGTTCAAACCCACCACTCCAGCCCTCCAGCCGAGGCAGCACAGGAGAAGAGGCAGTGGCACACGACAAGCGTCGAACCAGACACAGAAGCAGAAGCAAAAACAGGGGAAGAGGAGCAGGGGATGCTGCCTCCTCTGCTCCTCCTCCTCTGCTTCTGCTTCCTCTACTGCTGCTGTTGCCACTGCCTGTTCTGCTGCGGCTGCTGCCTGTTTTACCGTTGCTATTGCCTCCTCTGCTCCTCCTCCTTCACCCCTGCTTCTGCTTCTGCTGTTGTCTGCCACTGCCTCCTGCCGCCTACATTTCGGAAGACTGGAGGGCTGGGGGCTGGAGGACTGGGCGAGGTGGGAGGGCCTGGATTGTGGCATAAGGGGTATCTCTACAGCCAGTTTTTCAAGGCTTGGGCTCGAATCCCAACATCGACGCCACACCGATACCCAATACTACCAACATCCCATTGCTAAGTAATCAGTAACAAATCTGAATCGATCGAACCGGTAGATTACATCCAGGTTAACTTTGGTTTGGGCTGAAACTGGATTGAAGAAGGGTTTAGACTTAAGGAAGGGGGCGGCTAATGTTCAAGTTTACGGTTGAGGAGGGCCTTGGGATGGTAGCCTGGGATTTTCTAAACCTGTCTGAGCTCGAGAGTCCCAGGGTGACATAGGATCTCATGCGCAAGGCAATCAAGTTCTCAGAAACACGGCCATGGACCGAAGGCCTTTCAATGCAGGTCTCGGCTTCTTGCTGGGCACAACAGCGATCAGAACACGAATTATCGCTGTATCCTTCCACCACAGCCTATGACCCCGAATAACCTCTAATTGAGCCCTTCACCCCTGTACCCTATACTTACAATCAGTATAATATCTACATATATATATATATACACATACATACATACATACATACATACATACATACACACACACATGGATGTACACATACACATGTTAATACATGTAAACATGTTTTATACTGTATTAATCTATTCTATTAATATGTTATATACGTAGTATATACGGTACATATATATATATATACACCAACAGCATGCACTCCGAGCCCGTGGCCAGTTTCCTGTCCGAAGGCATGAAACCCGCTCTCCGTCCCAGGCTTGATCACCTGGGAGTTAAATCCTAAACATCCCCAGATCCTACAGGTTGGAGGTTGATGCCTCTCAGTTGGTGCTGGGGGCCCAGGGTGGTGATATGATCCAAGCAGAGGCCGTAGAACCATGAGATGTTGATCAACTTGAAGGATAGTTGCCTCAAATTCTGGGTCCCTCGGCCAGAGTCGGCCATGTAACTCATAAAAGGAATGATTTGCAAGATCCTGCGACTTTAGCTCTCTGTCTGAACCTGGAACCACGACTCCTTTCAAGAAGCCCCTGCAGCGGTCTAAAGAAGGACTGACTACTACAGAGCATCCGGAGTCGGAGCTATCCTCACCTTGAAGCCCCAGCCGGGCCATGGCATCAACGGCGACTCAAGGACTCTTCAGACACCCCAAATCCAAAAGCGTGCAGGGGTAGGGCGTATATCAAGGGTCAGAGGCGAGGCTTGCAAGTGCAAGTAAACAGGTGCTCAGTGCGCATGGGGGTATCTACTCGCGGTTTCATTGTCTGGCACAAAGCTTTTCCTTTAGTGCACAGGGACCGATGTCAGCATGCTCGTGGTCATTCCGCGGGCAGGTTCAGGTTTCGAGCTTGGAGCTGACAGCCGGAGTCTGCACTTTAACTCGGAACCTCAGTCTGCATCGACTCGGATCCCAGCGCTCTTGGTGTTTGTGAAGAGCTCTGCCTGAAGAACGTGGAATTGTGTGGAGGTGCATAAACGGCTAATCACTTCTCACGTCACACAGAAGCCAGTGCAGTCATGTCTTGACGGATTTCTGGTTCGGTGCCATTCCAGCACGCTCGGCTAATTCCCAAAGGCTCTTCGATTGATAATTATCGATCGAACGCTCGAAAATATTGTATTTTCTATCTACGCTCGAAAAACCTTTTTAAGCTATGCAAATCAGTCGAACAACTGGGTGGTTCGCTCGATTCCTCGATTGAATTTACATGAAACTTCGCTCGATTCCTCGATTGAATTTACAACTCCACCGCTCGATTCTTCGCTCGATTCCTCGATCGAATTTCAAGTGACCAAAGTGTATATTGTTTTCCCCATATATCGTTCATTTTTTCTACTCTGTATATATATATATATATATATATATATATATACATATACATGTATATAGATGTGTATATATGTATGTATATATATATATACACATATATTTATAGATGCATATATATATATACACACACATATATATATATACATATGTATATGTATATATATATATATACATATACATATATATATATATATATGGTGTAATATAATATATAATGTCTGGACAGACATTATTTGTCATGTTGTTTTATAATAGTAATCTTATGAATGCCTGGACAGGCAGCAAGTGCAAGTCATGATGTATATACCGAACCGAAGTTTTTCTTCAAGGATATCTAGCACCTCGATCGAGCCATGGAAACACCTCCGAAGAGGACTCGAGAAGCTGCAGACAGCACGCCCGAGCACGCCGAGAAGAAGAGGAAGAAAATGGATCAGTTTCCAGCACATGTGTTGGCGATGATCGAAACTCTCTCGCACATGGCTGTGAGGGCCACGAACCTGGCGAACTCCCTGATCGTCGAGTCCCATGAGCCAGAGAATCCAGACGATGCTGTGACTTTGATCTTGGGACACCTCGACGACATCGACGACCGGATTCGGGCTTTGGACGAGGAGCTTGAACAGATCGAGAACATGAACTGATGTAGATACAGGGAGTCGCCGAGCTGTAGCTATAGGTGCAGTTTTGGAATCTGAGTGTCTGCCAAAAGAGCATGGAGGAAAGGTGAGAAGAAAATGTTCTTGTTGCAGTGGAGCATGGACTTGTCAATGTCTGGACAGACATGGAAGACGATTTTGCAACAGTTGGTGTGCATATGATGCTTGGAGATCAGTTTTAGGAACATAGGGCCAGGCAGCGAGCCTAGAGCCAGCTCCCGAGCCATGGGTAAGGGAGGTCCTCACCGACGAAAGGTGCCAGATACAGACTTGGTGCATCTACAGGATGTGCTGTCGGAGGCGATTAAGCTGGAGGGAGGCCTGAACTTCTACGAGTACATGAACATGAGCAAGAGTCAGGCGATCTCTGGGGCCTCCTTGTGTTCCCTGAACTCCTTGATCACCAAGGTGATGGAAGTGCAGCCGGCCCTGATCTTTAAGTATCAGGACCTGAAGACAGTGTTTGGGACTTTGGTGAAGACCTTTGCCAGTCTACGAGAAAGTGTGCCAGTCACCGAACAAGGAATCCTGCACCAGAAGTATGCGAATGCCCTCATGACGGTAGCAGCACACACCCGAAGACTCCGAATCGATCAGAAGTTCAGAGAGTGCTGCAGCAGCCTGAGCACGTGGCAGACAGACAAGCTGGCTGCACTGCGAAAGTTGCTGCTGGAGTGTGACGACGATGACAGCTCGGAGTCCAGCAGTGAGAGTGAAGAGAGGACGAAGAAGAAGCAGAAGAAGAAGACTCTGGCCAAGGACGACAAGAAGGAGAAGAAGAAGACGGACAAGGTCAAGAAAAAGACCACCAAGGACAAGGGCAAGGACAAGAAAAAGAGCAAGGACAAGACCGACGAGAAGATCACCAAGCAGGACAAGGACAAGAAGAAGAAGGACAAGACCGACGAGAAGACCACCAAGAAGGACAAGGACAAGAACAAGAAGAAGGACAAGACCACGGAGTCCGACGACGACGTGCACAGTTTGG